CTTTTGAGGCACTAATGCTATGTTCTACTCGATTCATAAGTTCTCATGACTGCGGCAAACATCTTACCATACTTACCCCCTTGTACCAACCCCAAGCCCCGCAGCTCAAGCTTCTCCAGAAATTGATAAAATCGATAAAGCAGATTTTTATCCATAATCAGCACCCTCACTTACCCCCTTGTACCAGCTCTCAGCCCCGCAGCTCAAACTTCTCCAAAATTGATAAAGTTGGTCGGTTGGCAACAAGTCTATACATCAGCAAGAAGTCATTTTTTACCCATTATTGGACGATCTAAAAAAGCAGTCGATATGAATTTTGTCCAAAACTTATTCTAGAAGTACAGAATGCAGGGCAATCATCTTTTTGATAGGTTGTACACGCTAAACATTTGTGGTAAGCAGCTGGCGTTTTGAAGACATCTCGTAACTGGCAAATCGCGTACGGCGATCTCTAAACCATCTAATCCTCCATTACAACTGCGATGTCCTTTACTCAAAATACACCAATTCGCAAAAAATCTCTAAGATAGCGAATAGAGGCAGTTGTTTAATATAACTTATGCGAGCAAGAGTGCTCACTAGTGTGGACTTTGCGTACTACAAGCATGAGCAATGCAAAGAAAGGAAAACAGGCATTTCAAAACACTTTCAATATATGAACTCGGAACATGAGCTTGAAGTTGATAGCTTCTATGCTGATTTGGTGTCAATAACAGTGCGAACAATCTCATTGATCGAAAAAGCATCAATTAAAGTCCACATATGATTTTTTTACTGTCGCAAGCAGTCGAAAGAATGCTACTCTCCAGTTCAGAGGTCATAACGGTTGCAAAAGATGCATTACCGAGTTTTGCGTAAAAAAACGCGGACGAATTGAGCTTGATACTCTGCTCTGAATACGGAGTTCATTCGAATACGAATTCGAATAAACATTCGAATAAAACATTCGAATAAAATCTGTTCGAAAACCCATTTTTTGATTATTCGAGTTTTCCAATAATATTCGAATCTTCGTTCTTTGATTATTCGAGTTTTCGATTTTATTCGAAATCCTGTTTTTTGATTACTCGACTTTCGAATTTCATTCGAAACCCCGTTTTCTCAATTATTCGAGTTTCGAATATTATTCGAAAATAGAAGAACTCCGAATATCGAATTTCGAACACAAATATATTCGAATGTTTTATTCGAATGATCGAATTTTTATTCGATTCGGACCCATGTATACTGCAAAAGTCGTCTGCCGTGATCTCATATTGATACTGCTCCGCTAAGCTCACCTAGAATGTTGATCAAAGCTCAACTAAAAATTTCTTACAACAGGTTTAATGGTTGTTAACGCAGCGACGATTTCAGTGACCAGTTTTGTGCTTTCATTACGACCTTTGTTTTGTTTATTTTCAATTCTAATCTTTTCCATCCAAAATGCTGACTTTTTATGTTCTATTCAAACGCTTATCTCTTTCGAATTTTTTTTCGCCCAGTCTTATTTCATTCTCGTACATTTCTGTTTTACAGATTTTTTTCATGATGACGAAACTTCCGGTTGATTCACTTTGCACGATGATGTCCTAAAGGTTTGGGAAGGAAGAGATTCACCTTTACAAAGTCAGAAATGGAAACATATTCAAAATCGCTTTGAGAACTAAGAACATCAAAAAGGTTCGGAAACACTGATTCAAAATTGTCCTTCACTTCATCATATGGAGTTTTCATCCGACGGTTACTGGGATTATGTAGAAATACTAGGAACACTGAAACCAGGGCATTGTCTACTTTACTATCACGCTGAAACACCTGACAATGCCAAAATTCTACAGGTTTGGAGGAGCTACCACTTGGAAAGCTTTTTACATCTTCAGTATTCAAAACGTATTAAATTGCACTGGCAAACGATTTTCATCACTATCAATTCGGCTTGATCCGGACCCACTACGAAATCGGTACACAAAAGAAATTTCGGATCGAGTCATGTGGTCCCAACTCGGAGAGCATTTCTTCAAAGACTTTTCGTCTCGTATCTGATGCAAATGCCCTTGTGATGTACTATACCTCAAGACCTCTCCAAAAAATACCTGCTACGAACCGCACTTTGTGACCCATTGTCGGGGAAGACGGTGGGGTTTTAAGTGACCTCTCTCGCCTACAGCAATTAATTGCACCACTAAACAGGCCGCAACCATGTGTTCCGCTGTAACATTTACACTTCCTATGGAAAGTAAATGTTTCTCATATGTAGTTCACTTCTTATTGTTGTTGTTATGTAGCAGTCTGTATGAAAGTGCTCAAATAAATATTTTTGTGATTACCTCTTGCAGTGAACGTATCTCATAAGAGTTAATGTTTAAGGATGCTAACCATACTTTAATATGATTCACAGTAAACGAGCGATTTCCAAAACAGATTAATTGAATGGGAAGGAACCAGCATTAGGAACGAGAACTACACGTGGGCTCAGGGTGAAATGAAAGCCGAGAATTCAGGTTTCGGTAAAATAGTCCTTCCTTTCATTAGCAGCCTGTTTCTCTCATACACTGTAAAGAAATTTGCTGAGAAATCTCTCGTACTTTCCTCGTAAGTGTAAGGGCTTTACCTAATCTAGATGAGATGCCATGAGTTTAGTATAAACAGGATAGGGGACTATACGTCGCCGAAAGTAGGAGGTCCCGCCTGACATATGCGACAATCACATATTCCTACACATGCACAGGCTGAGTATCTGTGGCATTGTTCGCGCGGGACTCTCCCACTTTCGGCGACATACTCAGACAAATTTTTGGCCCAGCTGTTCTCAAACACCGTGCATGGGCAACACCGTGCGTAAGTCTTTTGTGCAACCGGACGAGTGCATAGCAATGACAGTGACAACAACACCATTCGTTGTTCTTGCCATATTGACAATTCCGACTTCAAGCGCGCAGAATGAATGAAACCAAAGAACTTTGTTACGATCTCAGGTATGAAGAAGAATCGTATTCATAATCAAGCTAACTATTCCCAAATACACTACGAACATCGCTAAAGTATACATCTTCTTCGCATCATATCCCTATTTATTACTTAACGTACTGCTTTTGATGTAGTTGAGCTTGTATAAGTAGAAGTTGGCTGGCTGATTGGGCGGCAGGGGACCCCGTTTTTTTGATGACGGTAGCCCCAGCCACAAACAAAAATGCAAAGTAATAACAAACTTTACTTTGAAGAAAGGCAAACAATTAGGTGCGCCCCATCGCAGAAATTGGATGAAGGAACATTTTCATAACAAGTATTTCCTCTTATCGCCGTTTATTGTAATTGAACTTCTCTTCAAACGAGGATAATACGCATGCTTGAAGTGCGCTTAAAAGCTTATGTAAGCTTAAAATTATGTACCTTAGATTTCAACCCGCACGTCTTCGCTCAACATGACGTGGGTTTATGGATTAATGAAACCAGCTTCATTTAGCCATTTTGCGGGCGCATTGTCTAGCGGGATGGCACAACCCAAAAAAGCTGTGGCAGCCACACCTTTTCGGGATTCTGCCACATTCCATTGACTTACTTTTGAAGCATTCAGATATCTGTGTTTTCTATGTCGTTGCCACTGCTAAACCTTCTTCTTTATCAAGTAGGAATTTCATTCTTTGAACCTGTTTGGTCTTCGCTGGTTTGAGATATTGAAAGCGAAAATGGAACAACAGAGATTTTGGACTCCATATACTCCCATAGTTTGGAGGTTATTTGTGGTGGAACTTCTGAGCAAAGAAGTACTAGTTCTTTGTATTAAGTGCCCAAAGAAGTAGTTACACCTAAAACAGAATTAACATATTGGGAAATGACCAGTCACTTCGGTGGCCCAATATCTGGGAACTTCATAATTTGCTGTAACTTGGCCCCCGAGAATTCTTTGACATGTTAATATAGAATTGATGCTCTTACGCCTTTGGGACTCCTTTATTGTGCTTACTGTACGTATAAATGTAAGCCAAAACGTGTTAGTATCTTGCATAATGTGCTTATCTGGTATCTACAGGGTGTCCAAAAAATGTACCTTCTGTTTGATTGTAAATAACTCTCTTGTAATGAAGTGTTTCGAGAAGCTTTATAAACTTAGATTTATAGTAAGGAGCGAATCATCTACCGCTCTTCATTACCGTAGAATTACGGTACGACGACAGAGTTTTTAGGCCATTGGATGCTATATTCTGCCTCGGAACAAAACCAAACAAGCCAAAATCTCTTATACTGTGGTAACGAGAGCCGCTGATTTGGAATTTGAAATTCGCATTTCACTGTGATGCTTCTTTCCAAAGTTATCCTCAGCAAAAGTCGTAATAAGTCAATAACCAACATTTGTGAGAAATGAATTTACACCGTCAAAAAAGCTGAAGAATCTCGTAAGCAGTTGTTAGGGAAATCAACATGCGCGAAAACCCTAGTACACGATTTCTCAGATTTTTTGAAAAAAATTGTCGGATGGTATATTTCACATTGGTTCCATAGCTGGAAGTTCTTACCGTAATCCTGCAGTAATGAAGAGCGATCGATGATCCGCTCCATACTGTTAATCTAAGTTCAACATGGCTTTACAAAATGGTACCTGAAGCTTCTCGAAACAACTCATTACAAGAGAGTTATTTACAACCGAACAGTAATCACATCTTTTTGGGACATCTGTACATATCTCATTGTTAACACGTTGACCGCAAGGTGCGTTTTTAGTTGTCTGCCTTGACTCATACAATTCACGGGAACTTTCCGAAGGCTTTGGCGGAATCTGCGGAGGATCACCATCACCCCGGAGGTACCGCTATCGTCTTCGGGAAGTTCTTAAAATGAGCTTTCGGGAAATTCCCTCGTGATGAGAGCTTCCGCAGGATTTATTTACTGGCATGTACACTGTCGTAAGAACATTTTCTGCTCTTTCCTTGGGATGCTACCTTATCAACGTGGTTACACTTGCAAAAGTGGGAAGAACAATTATCATTTATTACTGATTCTTTATCAAACAATTATATTAGTCGCGTATGCAACTATTACGACAATGAAAAAGAACATGACAAAGAATGTACTCCACAGGTAGTTGCAGTATCATGACGAGAGACCATCGGCTGTACGTTCCTTATGTGCAGCGCCAACAGTCTCCAGTCCTGCTTCGACGTCCGCGCTTTATTCTCTCTTATCCAATCCGCGCTTATTTGCACTTCTGAAAGAAAAACATAAATTTACGGTATAACAGTCGGAAAGGACTAAGTCTGCACCTTCGAAGATCTCATTCCTGATAAAGGCGATATACCGGGTGTCCCCACTGCAGAACTCAGATTTAGTGGCGAAAGTAGTTAAAACTGTTGAAAACTTACGCGCTTCGGAAATGCATTTTTTAATTTGATTACTTTGATGCAACATCTTCTTAAGAAGATGTTGAACTTTTTTTCGTGCTCTTCGTCACTTTCGCCTTTTGCCAAACCAAAAGCTGAAGTGCTATTCATTAGAATAAACCCTCATTGAGAACACTATTGCACCTATCACGAGAATTTGTTAAAGCATCAAGCCTGTATCCTTGCAGATTGTGCTAGCCTAGATTTAGTGCAGCTAGCGCAAAGTCCTCAAAAATTTGTTTTTCAAGGAAATCGCACATAACCGGTTGTGAGTGTGGCTGTGTTGAGTCGTGGGTGCTGCGCGAAATATGCAAGCTCACATGTCCGCAGTAAGTCGCTCTGATATACACAGCTCCAAAATACTTATACTACTTGAAAATCAAGTTGTATAGAAGTCAAAGGACTGCTAATTATCTATCATCAACTTAATAAAGAGCAAAAGCTGCTCAGCTTGCGTTTTTTAGGCTTTACAGTAATAATTTTGATCGCTTTTGATGTCAGGATTGATATGTCTTTTTGTTTTTTCCGGATCTAGCTCGCTCTGCCAAAAGCCATTTCCGGTCCCCTACTTTAGATCCATTCATTCTTTTTTACTAGAATGCAGCAAAAATACTTACAAAGGTGTTGGCTAAAATTTCTTCATAGTCCCTTAGCCGCAGATCACGGCTACGTCGTGAAAGGTTTGACATCTGAGCTTCAGTATCAACACGTAGCAACGAAGGGATAATGTAAAAATGAAAATGAAACCCGATTCAAGTTTGGCTGTGATAAGCTGATAAGCTCATATGATAAGCTTGAGCATGACATGCTTGTATACGGTCTCATTTAATCTAACAGGTAATTGCTTCCGCGTAATAAACGACATCTCTCGGGTATTTATCAGCTATTGATGCTGCTTTTTTCGTTGGAAATGTAATTCAGATGTTTATTCCTGAAAAAAAGGAAACACCATGTTCCTGATATGAGCGTTAGACGGTTAGCCGCCTACATGGACCATTCTCAAATTTCTCTCAAAAAACATTGTGACGAAGTTCGGCTCAAAAGTAACCATTCTGGTCACGTAAAAATCATTTGATCTTAACGTCTTCTGAAATAACAAAAATTTTGCTGCAAATCTTTATCAAATCTATACCTACTAGAAGAGTACTCAATACTCTTGCCACATTTTGCTATGTATGTTGCTTCTCCGTATTTCCTCGCAATAGTTTGCGAGGAAATAGACTTTCTCAAAACCTTGAAAACTCCTTTTATGAATCCATGTGGAGCTTGGTATGTTTGTTTTCAAAATCGTCTCATTGGCGCTTTTCTCTTTCTTGCTGTGTTTGCAGCCAGAACGCCATCTTTGAGACAAACGTAGAAATTTTGGTTCAGAAACATATAAGCTTCTTTTTCTTAAGCAGTAGTGGATCGTTCTTTTTGCTGCATAAATTCATTCGAATTGGAATCTGACCAAGTCCAAACAGTTCCTTGATGGTAATAAAACAAGCATCTGTGTTTGCTTTGAGATTGAAATCTGCTTGAACGACAACGACATGACCATGTCAGATTGGGATTTTAGAGGATGTGAAGTGATAACGGTTGTGAAGCAACGACTAGATTAGAGCCCCCCCCCCCCCCCAAGAAAGAAATTCTAGAAATTATAGATGTATCGTATTCCGTTATTTTGCAGCAATAACTTAAACGATAAAATACGATATTGAAGTTAATATGGGATCATATTTGATCAGCTTGCAAGAAGGGTTCTTGTCAAAACATTCAAAGAAGTTGAAACAGTATCATAATTCTTACTATCTGTGGTTTGCATTTGCGATTTCTGAGCATTTTCAAAAGTGTACATAAAAATATTTCGCATATTAAAAGAGGAAATCTGACTACATCTGAAACATGGTACAAAGGTGAGATAGAAGGTTTTTTCCAATAACAAAATTCCTGGGATTAGTACATACTTAAACGCTGAAAAGATGGCTTTCAGCAACTCTTTTCTTGTGTGTAAACTCTCTTGATAAGGAAATTCCCGAGACAAGAGCTGAAGTCCCGAAGTCGCTTATCTGGCCCGTAGTAAACCCCTCGTGGTTGTCACAACATAGAGGGACTATGTCGTGATAGCTCGGAGTATCTCGCAAGACTATAGCGAGCTATCCGCAGGGCGCCGCAAAACGAGCGCCTCCGCGCGTCATCGAACCGCTGATGACCGCGACAACAGCGCTCACACGCGCTGCGCTATGAGTACAGATACGCCGTGGAGTATTTGCTTAGAAAGGCAAGAATGCAGTGTGCTATTCTCAGATAATCGCCGGGGGCAGGCGGTCCGCAAACTCGCGCTTTTCTGCAGGCGGTCAGCAGAATTTTGGGGCGTGGCCAAACCTTCAGCGGGCGGTACTTCCGCGTTCTGCCAGCGGGCAGCAATACAGAACTATCTGCGAGCGCTCGTCAAATAATATCTTCCAGCGAGCGCTGGCCAAACTTTCAGCAAGCGCTCGGACTCTTTTTAGGTATTTTCGGGCGTACGTCGAGCGCAGGTAAGACTCTGTGTGGCAGAGGTGTCACCGTTGGTTTAATTACTCAAGTTTGAGGTACTTTCTCTCAGCGGAAAGTACCTGGGGGTTGCGCGGTCCTCCACAAAGGAACGTGCGGCCCTCGAAATTTTTGCATATTCTCGCGGAAAGTCCGCGAGAATGCGGCCACTGCGCCGCAGCTAATCCATAAAGAAACCGCGATTGTTCTTCAAGCATTCGTCTTTAATTTTGCCAACTTTCTTGCAAATTTCTGCAAGCGGGCCGCAAAAAATCAACGAACTATTTTTCCGGTGCGCGCTTGCTCAAAATTCGCATGGCCGCCTGCCCCCGGCGGTTATCTGAGTTGTTACCAAAGCAGGTAAATCAATCAGAGGAAATCCAATAACTGACCATCCTCGAGTGCGCGCGCCTGTTTCTCCATTTTCAATTCGTTATCTTATGTTTGCATGCATTATCAGGGTAGCGCAGTTGATCTATGTCTGTCACAGGATAATGCTTATTTTTGCGCATCGTGCCGTGAGAAGGAGCGCCAATATCCGCTACAACAGGACCATATTTGACTCTTCTCAATGAAATTTGGGCGTGCCAGCCACGTGTCAGCCCGTGTCGGATTCGTGCCAGCTCCTTCATAATAAATCCCATCCTTTATAACCTCTTAACTGGGCGTGCCAGCCCGTGCCAGATTCGTGCCAGCTCCGTGCCAAGGCACTGATGGTCTAGCAGCGCGCACATTCGCTGCGCTGTATGCTACTACGCCGTGCTTTGCTAGGGAAAGGATACACGTAGCAAATAGAGCAGTTGCAGCAAATCAGTATGGGAAAACGATATGCATGCCTTATCCGTAAGTATTGTTGAAGGGGTTAGCTACTACTTTTGCAATTATTGTAAAACAGCTCAATAACTCAACATAGCTTGTAGTTAGCGCAGTGCCAGTGTGAGAGGCTGGTGTGCTAGACGTTGTGGGTACAATTTCCATGCGACACTATTTTTTTTTGCTGGCAAACTGAATTTTGCAAAGGAACGTAAATTAGAATTTTCTTTTTGAAAGGAAATGGAATTTAAAATAGAATACATATTGAAAGTGTGCAAGAAAAATCAAAATATTATCATCAGCATTCAGTCCGTTCAAAAATGGGCTATTCCATTAGCCATAACGCCAGACGGTCCTTTCTCATAAAAACGAAAGGAAACGAGAGGTGCATGGCTAACGAACAGCAACCAGCAAAGATATGTGGTCGAAACTGCCAAGAATGATGAAAAGATCAAGAATTTGCGAAAGTTTGGCACAAAGAAGGGAGTTTTTTGCTCAAACAAGGTGCATAGCAAAAATAGAGAAGAAAAACTGCATAAGTACGAAAAATATGGCTAAGTATGAGTCTAACATACTTTTTAGTTAAAATAAACTCACCTTTTTTCAAATACCAAAGCGGCAGCAGCAGAAGTATTGGAGAATAGGGAGAGGCGCATGGCTCGAACAGTTAGGCGCTTATCAGCTGTTGATATTGATTGTGGTTGACGTGCGTTATAGAGAATGTGTGCATGTGCGACCTATTGCGAGGTTGGCGTAGTCGAGCTCTAGTCTTGCGCTATGTCTCTGCGTCTCTATGATGGACAAGGTATTTCGCCGTCTTGTTCGTCACGACATGTCGCAATATGTCGCTATATGTCGCGATATGTCGCGACATATCGCGACAAAGTGCGACTACCCTGACGCTACGCATCGATTGCATCCGCCGGCAATGATAAAGAATAGCCGCTTTGCCAGCCTCGCTCCATGATAGTCACCACATGTCACAGCATACTCCGAGCTATACGTCACGACGTCCGGGGGGTTTACTACAGGCCCTGAAACCAAACACGTAAAGAGTATTTGTAGAAGAAATGTCAAGGTATAGGCTGCTGCATGACGAAGGCGTAAAACCTTTGGGCGCGAAGCGGCTTCATTAGCAGCAGAGCGCATGAAGCGCAGGATTTATAACGTTGAGGATATGCGCGGTCGCGTTTGCGCCCGCTCAACTAATACCGCTCCTGCGCCCTCGTCATGCAAAAGCCTCTAGAGTTAAGGATGATTGAGATTTTGTTGTAGTTCCCTTCCTCAGATACACACACATAGTGCAACTACATCAAAACATTGCTTCAAATGTCCGTGAACAAAGTCTTCAAGTATCTAAGTTCTCCTTCTTACTCAGAAAAATCTCGTGATAGGCAGTGGCGATTGAAGGCTGGGCATGCTCTCTACTTCACAAAACTAAAAGAAGTAGAAGACTTATACAAAGTAATTTTCGTCAACAAGACTTTGAAAAAAAACTTTGATATGATGTTATTACACTTACCAAACATGCAAAACAAAAAACCTCATCAAATACAGCTTTGATTATCTCCTCAGGAAGTTCCTAACTTTATTGCTGTTGACGTCATTTTTCTCGGGAGAATCCCATTTTGCCGCCTTCTTTCAACTCAGTACTAAATCAAGCTTTCGGAAATTTTCGCAAATTAGCTTGTCCTCGGGAAGTTCCCGTGATTTGTCTAAGGAGGGACATTTTAGATTAAAATCACGCAGATTCATCTACACTTTACCTACAGTAATTCTGAGAAGCAGCCGAGAAACGTAGAAGCAGTTCCTAGATTAAGAGCATAAGAGGATTTTTTGAACGAGTGTATTCTAAAACGGTAATTATCCTAACATTTGAGTTACTGGCCCACTATGTAAGTCACATTGCCCCACGTGGCAGTCACTGCCCTCACCATGTGGGTCACGCTGTCGTCAATATGTTAAAATATCATGTTATCACTATCACCAGCATCACCTCGATAACCAGGTGTGGCATGCCACACCCCACGCTTGACGCAGATTCTAAGTTATCTCGATTATCAATGTGCCCGCATAATTGAGCGGCGGAACTAAGGAGTCCGTGTGTGGACAATTTTAATGGTCATTTGAAAGAATGGAAGAACGTCATTACGCTAGGATAGTCGTGCAGATGGCCTCAAATTAGGTAAAATCTTTCATTCTATCATTGGAACGTGTGACCCCAAAAACCTAGATGTCTAGTATAACATCTCGAACACATATTGCGAAAACACTTGGCAAATATTTGTTGTTACTGGAGCAATACGATCTGGTGGAATGTGGTGTATCAATCTCCACGTCTCCTTTATGTGGTTTTTCACCGCTGTAAAAGGTAGATTTAGCCTTAAGATAAGTATCAAAAGCAATCCTATTATTTGTTCATTGAAGGATTCGCACATGTACACCTCAGTCAATGAGTCAAACTGATCCTGCGATGAAATCTTTGCCAGGCGAGGAGCGTAATCAACTAAAAGATTCCCAATCATCTAGATTTGATGGTGACTAATCTTCAAGAAATTATAATTTATATTACAGTTATAATTACAATTTACATTAAATTACAATTTACACAGCAAATTTACAAAGCAGTCGAGGAATCTTAACTTACCGGGTCCTTTGTTCATCTCTTCAACGGGTAATAGGACGTCGGAAACTTTTTCGCTCCTTCTTTGCAGATCATCCGTCATATGTTATTCCACAATCCCGGTTAACCGTCAAATCTTCTATGGTATTCAACACTTACAGATTATGTTCTATATCAACGACTTCTGCGGCAATTAACGCATCTCAAGCCTTCGTTTCTCCACCTGAATTGTACTTCCTGGTCTCCTCGATTGAGATCATGATTGTATGAGACAGCACACCAAAATTTCGGCTAGTGTCCTGAAATCTACCCAAGTCTTTAATGTAGGCAAAAAACTTATCAACCTCGATTGCTTGATCCAACACTTCTTGCATCATCTTCGAATGAGGATGCTGTTGATACTCAGCTAGAAATTATCACAATGTTCTGCTGGAAATGCAACTTGCATAACCGTAATAAGCTAGCGAAGTAAAGCACCTATTGAATGGAATACGTTCGCGGTGTCCTCGAAGTCCAACCGCAGTAGACCGACGGTGAGAATGAAAAACTGAAATTCACTCTAATCTACGTGTTCAAAGCTCCAGTGATATGCTTTGCTGTTATCATTTCAATTGAGCAAAATTTGTTTATTGACTTTTAATGAGCCTTCAAGCGAAGTGGGTACATTGTAAGATGGTTGCAGTCGAAAGCAGTCTCTTACGTTGAAGGCAGTACTTAATTCCTCCTCAGGCCCCGGACAGACTTCACGCGATTTGGTCGTTGCGACTGAATCGCGACGAGACAACTGTTACAACATCATTCCATGCCGATCAACTTGCTTTTCGATTGTGGTACTTTTCCAGCCCGAAATTTTTGAATGTGAAATGAAAGTGAATGGAAATGTCGGCGTTTGAATTGCGACGATCAAATCGCGTGAAGTCTGTCCGGGGCCTTAGGCCCTGGGCGGAGCTCATGCGATTTCGTCGCGTCGTGTCCTATCACTTTGGACAAGTGTTCCACGCTACGCTGTTTAGTCTGCGGGTCCCGACGTTTGTGATGGCTGCGCGGCGCGACGGATCGCGCCACACTTTTCGGCGTTCATAGCTTGCCAGGCGATATCGCCGCGATTTTGCCGAATCGGCGCGATGTCGCGTTGCTCGTTTGCGGCGAGCGACGGCGCGACCGTCGCGCAGATCCTGAAGTGGATTTTTGATGTTACTGTTGTATGTTGCTGTTGTTTTGCGGGTTATGAGTGTTTTCGCATAAACTGTTGCAAATGCTAGAGTATGCCTATCCTTGCAATGTTTGATGAGGGCAGTTGGTCTTTATTTTGCATTTTTCCTATCTTCTAATCTTCTCCTATATCTCATATGCCCTAGGCTGCCGAAGAGACCCCCACCCTGTTCGATTATGCATAGAATACTCTAAGAATGTGCTCGCAGTCTACTGACGATGTTATGCAGCAAAACGCCGAGATATGAGCTTTGCATGAGAATAGCAGTCTTTTCGTCTTTTCGTCGTATCATGTGCATCATATCGTTGACGTATCTAGAGCTGAAAACCCTTTTGCCATTGGTTACTTCGGAATGTCCGCATCCACTGGTGGCCTTGCTGGGACTTCATCCCAATTCATAATTGATGCTTCCCAACAGTCATTCGATTATGACCCATTTTTTTCCAGACGCCACGATGTTATTAACTTCTCGGTCTTCTCCATTTGAACCGATACCCGAGTTTCCACTCCTACTGCTATTCCACAAGATGAAAAATCCAAGTATAATGAGGAGTTCAAGAAACAAATGGAACAGTACGAAGCTGAGAAAGCCAAGTTAATGCTCTTTTGTTTCATTCTCTTTTCAAAGCTTTGAGGAATGTCCGTTGCAGATTCACAAGAGCATACAGATAGATCTAAAGATGATAATCACTACGAAAAGTCGAAGTCTTTTGAAGATGCCACAGGTCTAGAGCTCCGTCACCTCTTCAAATGACAAAGCCATATCCTTGAAGTAAGTGCGCTGAACGTTCCCTTATGATCGTCACTCCTTTTTCGATTATTGTTACGAGACCTTGATTTGTTTTGATCATCACTTTCGTCAAAACAGCAGTACATATGACTCTCAGACTTTACAACATAGAAATAAAGCCAAATATAGTCGGTGGCAGAGCTGTTCAGGCTCTTTTCTGTTACCCCAGCACTAGGTCAAGCAGGATCAGGTACTGGACGAAAGCCATATCAATGAAAAATCGTTAAATTCTCATTTCAGTTCCTGCTGGTGGTTCATTGTTCCTGCTGGTGGCCTGCTGCAACACGAAAAGAACGAAATTTTGCTAATCTAACGAGATCTTGCATAGTCATTACGAGACTAGACAGCAGCATGTGAACGATATTCACCTTTTAGTATTAGCTACTTCCCTTAAAAAGCTACTTTTGCTATTTAGACCCCATAAGGAAGAGACAACGGCAGTGTGGCCATAGATTCAACTATGCAGCAGAAAGTAGACAGCTTGTTGAATAAAGTTCGGACAGTGCGAGCGAATCAGTTGAAGCAGGTGAGCCTTTTGCGTTTATGGTTTTTTGAATTCATTGGATACATCTAATGCTGCACTTTTACTGTGATTCCCAGCACGATAATTTTACAAGAATTACAACAATTGGAGGCCAGATCCACCGCCGTCCGGTTTTCAGGTCGTTAGGCGGTTCTCCCCGCTCCAAGCCCAGGGTCAGCGATCGCCCCGTGGAAATCAAGAGTTGGCCTAGTAAGTCTGCTCTTGTAGGGCAAAAATTTCATTACTCTTCCAGTTAGAAGAATAGAAAGAAACCCTGCACATCGGATCCCGCCTACGGCGCCGGGTGTAGCAAGACTAATGTCAGGGTCCTCAGGGCGCCTTTTGGATTGGACAAAAACGACACGTCTGCCCGGACGACACGCCGCGGAGACTGCCTCATGCTCTGCATCTACAACGCCAGGACAGTCTCCACAAACACCGACCTCCACGCTCTTCTCGACGCTGCAGAGCACATTAAGTACCACATCATCGCTCTGCAGGAAACGAAGTCCAGGAAGAAGGACGTGCGACAGATGAATGATGGGACGCTCATCATTCGTGGTGAGAAGGTTCCATCACGAAACGTGGGAGGCGTTGGCTTTGTCGTCCACCCTTGTATCGTTCATCTTGTCGATTCGCACGAGATCCTATCACCCCGACTAGTCATCCTACGATTACGCCCTCAACGTCAGAAGACCATCAGCATCATCAACTGCTACTCTCCAACATCAGCACCTGACGACTCAGAACTAGATGCTTTCTACGAAGACGTGGAGGAGGTCGTCCGCAACGAAAAGTCCTTCTACAAGTATGCTGTGGGCGACTTCAATGCGAAAAATCGGAATGCCACTAGAAAAGGAATATAGGATCGGGAAGTTTGGATATGGGCTACGAAACGAAAACGGCAACCGCCTCGTTGGGCTTCTCTCCGCCGCACGACTTTTCCATGGAAACTCCATCTTCATGAAGAAAGAACATCGTCGGTGGACTTGAGAATCGCCTAACGGGACGACTCACGCTGAGATCGACCACATTCTCACCAACCGAAGGTGGAGCTTACTCGATGTCTCTGTAGTTCCATCCTTCTGTAGTAGCTCCGATCACCGCCTCCTTCGAGCGAAGATACGACTCAGTCGAAGGCTGGAAAAGAAAGTCTGTCATAGTGCCGCGAGAAGGAAGGAAGTCATTTATGACAATAACAGGCTGGAGAAGCTCATATCAAAATGTGACTGGCCCATCGAGGAGGACCCAACGTACGACTACGACCGGCTTTTGAAAGGATTGCGAGCCTGCGGAGAATGCGCCTCAGTGACTTCTGAGAAGAACTTGGAACGTATTTCGAAGACCACCAAGGAATTGCTCGAAAAAAGAAGATTTCTGAGGCAGGATCCGAATGCAACCCATCTCGAGCGACTGATAGCCAATGCCAGTTGCAGAAAGCTTTGCAGGAGGATCTCAGGAAGTACAGGCAAGCCAAGATACTGGAAGCAGCCGAAGGAAGACGAAGTCTTAAGAAATGCCGAAGGGACCTCTGCGATAGTCACGTACCGCTGGCTATTGAACGAAGACGGGACTCCGACTTCTTCCCGATACAAGATGGAATCTATCGCGAAGAACTTCTATACCAACCTCTTCCGCTCATCAACACCCGTGCCGATGCCCGTTTTCCCACTGGAGAAGTACCACCACGAATTCTACCTGCTGAAGTGCGCACGGCGATTCAGACCATGAAGACATCAACGGCTCCAGAACCACACCATCTTTCCATCGAATTTCTGCGAGCCGGAGGACAACTCTACACGAGATTCTCGCGTCGCACCTGACATCTTACCTTCAGAAGGAGAGGATTCCCGACAAGTGGAGAACATCAAGAATCGTCCTTCTTTTTAAGAAGGGTGAACGGGAAGATTTTCGAAATTACCGTCCAATATGCCTGCTGAGTGTGCTGTACAAGCTCTTCACGAAGATTATCCTCGCACGCATATCTAGGACACTGGATGAAGCCCAATCCCAAGAACAAGCTGGATTTCGCAAAGGATTCAGCTGCATGGACCACATCCAGAGGTTTCGAGGGTCATCATAGAAGTCTGCCGGGAGTACCGACTGCCTCTCGTCCTAATTTTCGTCGACTACGAGAAAGCCTTTGACAGCGTCGAAACCAACGCCATCCTGTCTGCGCTAGTCGATCAAAGAGTGGAACCAGCTTACGTGAGGACACTAGCCGACTGCTACAAGGACTGTACAACAACGATGCAGTTATTCCATCGCCCCCTAACCATTCCAATTGGGAAGGGGGTTCGACAAGGCGACACCATTTTGCCGAAGCTGTTTACCGCGGCCTTGCAGTAGGTGATGAAGTCACTAGACTGGGATGAGAGAGGCATACGAGTTGATGGGAGATTCCTATCCAACCTTCGCTTTGCGAATGACATCGTCCTTTTCTCGAGCAGTATCACTGAAGCAGAGGCGATGCTGAAGGAACTAAACGAAGTAGGGAAGAAGATCGGACTGCGAATAAATCGGAAGAAGACTCAGTTCATGAAGAACGCCCTTTGCGAAGATGCAGAAATGGAATTGGAAGGCACCCCTATCATGGAGACGTCTTCTTATGTGTATCTCGGACGTTCGATGAACATGGAGAACGACTTGAGGGAAGAACTTAACAGGAGAAGAAGAGCAGCCTGGGCCGTCTTCGGGCCTCTGAAGGAAGCCACCGACCAACTGACGGAACCGGAGCTTCATGCCCACCTGTTCGACCCAACCGTTCTCCCAGCGCTCTGCTACGCAGCTGAGACTTGGGCCGACATCGTAGCCACGTCGAAAGCTTTAAGGACCACCCACAGAGCGCTCGAGCGCAGTCTTCTAAAGATGACCCGACACAAGCAACATCTAGTCGGACTTCGCAGCACGGATATGAGAAGATGTCCCGTCTTCGTGACCCAGCGGAATACGTTGCGAAAGCGAAACATGATAACGGACGATAGATGGACATCAAGAACATCTGAGTGGATTCCTCGCGAAGCCAAACGTCCTCGAGGAAGACCACCGACGAGATGGGCAGACGTGTTCGTGGAACGGATGGACCAGCTGAGAAATCAGCTGGATACGATTCTCGCCCCTGGAACTCGTGGACGCAGCCACCGACGATGACCAAGAAGACCGTGGATGTCCGAAGCGAGGGACAGGAATCAATGGCAACTTCTGTACTGGGGCCCGCACGTCACGTGAGGACGGGCCATCTAAGTATCTAAGTAAGTACAACAGTTGGAGTGGATTTTAAATCCGTCATCAAAATTTGTATGCATGTATAGCAGGTTTTTTTTTGATTGAACAATACTGCCTTGCTGCGTAGCATATAGAACCTTTGCTATAATTACATGATTTTTTTTACGCCTAAGCAATTTGTAAATAGTAAAACCCAAGGTAAGGACGTAAACTTGCTATCATCAATATTGTATTTGCGCCTTCACCGGAGAGTAGCCTTTATGTGTGACGAGCAGCTTTTTTGATGAAGAACAGTAATAAGTGCTCCGCGAGCAGCAAACAAGTTCCATCTACACTTGTCAATTTTTCCAGTCCCCGTACTTGAGACCCAAATTGGTAATTAAATCTGGCATCCTTCAGAGCGGTAGCGGACCGGGCTGCCCTAAAATTTGTGCTTATCGACAAGCTGTTTATGACTATAGCAGTTATCCAGGCAGTTGTCAGTTGTTATTGTTGCTGTGATATTCCTCAGGTTTGTTGGTTCAGTCACATCCACTTATTTCATTGACTGTTACAGTTTGCAGAAGCACGTACCCGGCAAGGCGAGTTCACGGTTGTTCACACCATATCGCACTTTTGTAATCAATAAAGCAATCAAATATTTTGTGTCTTTTGCACTGTATTTTTTCTCAACTATGGGTTTTCTTCGCAGGTTCTTGTTTTATTGTTGATCTTTTGGATGCATAGCTGTTGTGATTGTTATAATTCTATGTGATAAACTTTCAATCTTCCTTTGTTTGCTGTTACACCTTTTTGAATGACAGTGATATAGTAAAGTTGTCGATATCAGGAAAGCAAGGGGGAAGGGGAATACGTAAATGAGAGGTGCAAATTCGCCATAAGTTAAGCAATCACCACCATCCAATGCGCAGATACTAATCGAATTCAATATGGGAACAAGCAGTCATCACTTTCATATCGGAATTGTAGTTTGTGTTAGCTCTTTGTTGATGCGTTCACTGTGTATATTAACTTTGACTTTTCTTGCAGTCGTCAGTCTTGCAGTTGCCAGATAATACAGTAACAAACTCAAGGAGAGCACTGATTTTCACTAATGAATTAGATTACGTGCAATGTGTGAAGTGTTGTGCAATTGCATGAAATCGCGCCGGAGGTATGCACGCCTCCGGCGACTGAGCGACTCAGTCGTCGCGTCCCAGTCGCCACTTTCGTGCAAGTCGTCGCGACTGGAGATCGCGCGACGAAGTCGCGCGAGCTATGCCCAGGGCCTTACGCGTTTCGCACTAAGGCACTTTTGGCTCTAAAATTCTATTGACGTCATTAAAAAAACAAAAATGATAGAAATAATCCACCCAGCATTCAGTTAGGATGGAGAAATGAGAAATGATAATTGGCGAGTCGAATCAATGAAATTGATATTGTTTTTTAAATCACATTTTTGAGGTGAGATTAGGATTATAAAGATAGTTTACCTTTGTATTATCACTTCCAAGCTTCAAGCTGCAGACTATAGAAAAAAAAGCGGAAATTTTCTCTGTCCAGATATTTGCGAGTAAAACGCTAATAGGCATTTCAAAACTTTTACGGATGCTTTTGCTGCTGCTTTTGTACTCCTCTATATGAAAAGCTGAAAAGCCCGTTTGCGACGCTTTGAGTCTTCTTGTTAGATGCGCATCAACAGAAATTACGTTAGAGTCACCGAGTGACATAAGCAAATATCAATTAACTTTGGCCCCGATGGATATAGTTGAAAATGCTTGCTGGATCTATTATTTGTTTCATATCCTAAGATCAAACTATATTCCTTCCTGAATTTTTTGAGTTGATTGAATTGTGATAAATACTTCGAAGAATTCAAGGTTTCAGTGGACATCTCGCAATTATGCTGTTCTGGCAGGCATCGCTTTAAGCTTTGTTAAAAGCATTCATACAGCTCTTACTGAAAAGATGAGATGTCAGACCAGCACTTTTAGTAACCCTTTCTACTTTCTTGCGCTCAGCAGAATCCGCTCGACGTTGTGGTTGACCACAGCAGAAGAAAGTGAGACAAATGAACCCAGCAAGGAGCAAAAAAGAGAATTGATGGACAATGAGTACGTAGCTGTAAAGAGTAGCTAAATTTTGATATACAGATTGTTATACGTGCGGATCTCCGAAGTCCACACAGAAATGGAAACCTTTGAAAGAAGCAAAAAAAACAGCGTTTGCAAGTAGTTAGGCAGAGGATCAGCGTTGAGCGCAAAGCGCTTGAAATATGGAGATTTTTTATAACTGAGTCTAAATTTTGACTATATCGCCGCTGATTTCTAAAGAAGAAACGGTTGCGATCGATTTTTTTTGTAGCGTGATACAGTCCTGACAATGTTATAAGAATTTCGTTAAAACTTTCAACGAAAATGAGTGCATTACTGTACTGCTGACGGTCTCTAATTCAGAACTAAATGGAAATCCATCTTAAATTCTATTGCATATGTTATTGCAGATAAACCGTCCCAAAAATGATTATGTTGAACCAACAGTCGGGATTTGGACTTTGCACCATACTCGAGTTGAAATCACTCATAGTTCAAAAAAAACACCGAATTAATAGTAGATTTGAAAAACGAATAGCTTTCGGAGCATTGCATATTCTTTCCTACTAACTGCTAGTTATATGACCGCCACGATGGGGGGAAGCGCGATATCCTCCAAGGCCTCGCCGCTTCTTCTCCAGGCGCGCTGAGAACAGTATTCCCTTCTTTGAGATCCAAGGAAATGTCAGAATATCAGACAAAATAGCACAGTTCATAGGGTGGAGTTTTGAATTTAAAAAAAAGGCAGAAAGTTTCTCTACATTTGTACATTTGTACTAGCAATTGTAGATTACAGCATCATTCGCCGCAAAGATGTAAACAATTCCTTAAAACTTTTGACAGTTGATGATCTTTCCCCTACATTACCGCTCGTATTTTTCAAAGACACGACGCACAGTCGCCCGATTGATGTGACATCACCGTAGCGCAGCCATACTTCGCTTCAGCATGGACGAAGTCTTACAAGGGAACGATCCCAACTTAAGGTGGCGAATTGGAACGAACCGCATACCGTTAGATGCGTCTTAATGAGCTGATTTCAAATCTGTCTTCCTTATCTGCGACACCGTTATCTGCAAAAAGTTATGAGCGGTTGAAATTTTGAAGTTATCGGGGTTCTAATGCATAATATGCTTTAAAATCAACTTGGAAGTGCACGACTAGCATGATATTAAGTCTACTGATTCCAGGGAATGCTCAGATTCTAAATAAACACAGATAAGTGTTTTCGAACAGCTAAAAAGCAACTAAAGCTCTTTAGTAAAAGTTATAAGCAATGAGAAGTCCAAATTTGGCAAATGTACAGCGCCATACCTCGAAAATTAGCTGTTCAAAAACACTTATCTGTGTTTATTTAGAATCTGAGCATTCCCTGGAATCAGTACACTCAATAGCATGCTAGTCGTGTACTTCCAAGTTGGATTTCAAAGCATATTATGCATTAAAGCCCCGATAAGTTCACATTTTCAACTGCTCATAACTTTTTGCAGATAACGGTGTCGCAGATAAGGAAGACAGATTTGGAATCAGCTCATTAAGACGCACCTAATGGTATGCGGTTCATTCCAATTCGCCACCTTAGGTTGGGATCGTGCCCTTGTTAGTCCTGGGGCATCATTCGACTCAGCTAGGCGCGGCGCATTCTGATATATAGAAGCGAGCTTGGACACCGTAAGAGGTCGAATTTTACGAATTGTTTTGGATTTTTGCTTACGGTGGGTTAATCAGTGTGCGCATTCATTGCACTCACTGGACAACCTACCGTAAGCCGGAATCTGATAGGATTTGGAAAATCTGGCCTCCTACATTATCCAAACAGGCGCATTCACATATCAAAAGATGCGCCGCGCCTAGCTGAGTCGAATCGTCCCTTGGATTAAAAATTTGTCCACTCTGAAGCGAGATATGGCCACGCAACGTTGACTTCGCATGGATCTGACGACTGTGCGACGTTCTTCCAGAAAATACAAGCAATATAGCTTTAAGAGGGTTTGGTCGCTGAATCGCAAGCCAAATTGGCCACAGACCCTGTAAGAGCATCTTGGGCAAGTTTCTGGATTTGCTGTTCACATGCATTGCAATTAATATTGCGTCTCAGTCTTTTTTTTGTTTTCATGTAATTTTGAGCGGAATCTAGCTTCTGAGATAATCAATCTATTTATTAGAAGATACTGACCAACATTTGTTTGTACATCATGGGAACAGTATTCAACATCAAAAAACAACTTAAAAAACATCACCGGCAAACGCACAAGTCAATGTATGCACAAACACAAGCAGGCACATCGAAGATGTCATGAGCAAACACAGGAGATCAATTTGATGGTAAGTTAATGCTTTTCGTTGAAAGAAGTTGAAACAGATTGCTTAGCACCTCGTTTCCGACATCGAGTAGTGCCGGTACCGTTGCAGCGAGATCATTACGATTGTGAATGCGATGAAAACCATGACCTGGAATAGAATAGAAGTGGTATAGAATTTTTCAGGTAAAAGTGGACGAGACCCACTGATATCATTCCAGCCAAGAATATAACAAAAGGATTGAATGGAACGCAGATCTCGTGCACGGGATAGGATGCTTTCTCATGACAAGTCAGTTCAACTGAGTGTGTTGCTTCCGATTCGACGTCAGAGATGACACCTATACGACTAAAGCTTAGTAAGACTATATGTTTTGGTTGGGAATGGCTCACCCAGCTCTGACACCTCTATGCGCTGTGTCTGAACGTCGACGCTGATACTAGAATCATTATCGTAGCTTCTCCTGTGAATAAGAATGTTTGAAACTTGTAAAAACAGTCATACCAAAAAACAACCTCGTTCGGTTCAAATTCTGATCTAAACATGTCGGTATGTCACACATTCCATTTTTAGGCGGCATCAGTAACAATTCACATTCAAAGTAGATTAGAGATGTTTGGGAAACTCCAAATACGCTGACATTTTGGCCGACCATAGTCTGAAAAGATTTAATACGAACATATAAATTATTCTCGTTGATCAATAGAAATCAGTGGGCTCAATCCATAGCAGTTTTTCTTGTTACTTCAAAGCTGCGAAAGAGCAAACAACGCACAGTTCGATCCCATTTTCTTCTATTCATGGCTGTTACTTCTGCAGAATTATGACTCTCGACCATGCGCAATTTATAACTTCGATTACACTTGCGGTAGAGAAACATTTGACTCTACCTGGTCCATCTATGTAAATATATATGATTAGATGATATCTTTAGGCTTTTTCTATTCTTAACAAATACAAGTCATTCGGATATGCACCTTCTCAAATCCAAATGTTGATAAATGAACACATTGAACAATTATGTTGGTTATAGGGGTCCAGAAAAAATGTGCAAGAATCTTCTTGGAAGTCCTTGTGAAAACGGTTTCGTGAGAAAGTAGAATATAATATCGAAAGCAAACAAAGCTGCTCACAAATATGCAAAGCCGTGATTGTTGGATAGATAATCAAAAAATGTAATGTAAATAAAATCAGTAATATTGCTTTCTGGTTTCAAAGTATCAGGTTTGTTTTTTTCTTGGGCTGGCTGTAAATTATATCGCTAGATGAAATCTCAATCGCATCGAAAAAAATGGTTTTGTCATCAGACGTAGAGCACCATTTATAATAATATACATTTCAACCAAGACTTCTTCAGCTTTCGCCATTTTAAGGAGCGTTTTGCGAACTAAAAAGACTTCTGCGATATCACGAACAAGCTTTGGGCACGTTTCTGTGTGCATCGAATATTACCTCTGAAGTCTTCCGAGGCACAAGGTTAACTTTTCTCAGTCAAAAAAACGAGGAAACTTTGCGCTCTTAAAATGGCTTAACCCTAAACTTCTTAAAGTGGAACTATTTCCTTCAGAGGATTAGATCCAAAGCTTTCCTTTCTGAGATAAGATTTAGCTAGTACAGCTAAGCTGAGAACTTGTTGCTCCTCTCAATCCTAACCCCTTATTTCCTTCATATTTCCCCTATCCTCTCGGACCAAAGACATATGAATTATACAGCATCCAATCCTGACTCTGCTCTCACAATCTGGGAAAGTCGTGCCGCGCTTCGGGTAAACAAAATAAGAAAGGCAACTTCGGCGACAAACAACTCGACATTGGCACCAAGCTAAACATACACTTCGGCGACGGTGTATTCGCTTTGCTTTCAAAGTGGGATTTTCACAGCGGAATGGAGGCGAAAGATCACTTTTGCTTTACTTTGGGCTTTGATATTCTTGCGTGCGCGACGCAGCGCGAGAAGAATCCCAAAAAGTAGCTCGATGAAAGTTTCAACTGGTCGCACTTCATGTCCTAGCGAATTCTTTAGAGCTTGCGCAGCTTGTTCACGGTTATCTTGATGTAACAATAAAAGAGCATGCTAAAACTAAATGCTATTATAAGATCTCAGATGAAACCTGTCCTTCTTGATGCTACAACCAGAGGTTGTTAGAGTAAACACCTATCTCTTGAAATTGATAGCATATGGCCTGTTTGCCACGCATGAGTTAGATGGAATAAGGGCATTAGACTGGCCCTCATAAATCTTGAAATGCCACCATTTGGCAACTTTGTGCCACCTGTGTATTCCTTATGATTCATTGCTCCAAAACTTTGGATTAGACTAGGTCTCGTTGTAGGGAGACGACCGTCAACGAATGCGATTTCTATGTACGTCGCCAATTCCAAAAGCACCTTTCAGTGTAACGCGAGCCTTCAAAAATAAAAACAACGTGCTTTGGCCTAGTAGCTTAAAGTTGCCATATGCCAAGTTTGACGGATTTTGATGAAAAACTGAGTGGAATGTTTGGATTTTGATTACAGATGCATTTTCAAGGGTTTTTGGCTTTCAACATTTATGTTTTGAATCTTTTCCAGAGGAATAAGATCGAGCAGGGGCATGTGAGTAGGACGAACGTTCAAGAAAACCGAAGATTTGCAATGAGTCTGGGCTACGATAATGGGTATCAGAATTTTTACCTGCTAAATCTGCTAAAGAATGGGAATCTCTTGGTAATAATTTAGTCATAGAACACCATTCAGTCGCACACTCTATTTAAACTCAAAAATCAGTGGGAGTTTCTTTGCCTGTACAACACGATAGAAGCATAACAGAAAGTAAGATTGAGTCTTCATAGGAAGGGTTAGGTAAATCTTTTTGAGTTGGAACTGCAAAGCCAACAGTGCAACATCTTTTCAAAACACTCTAATTCCATACGACAGGAATTCGTCTTGTCATCCGTTTTCAGCCAGTGTCCCTTGCGACGTTGTTCACATAAAGCTTTATTTTACTTCGAACAAAACCAACGTCATTGCAGATCATAGAAAAAAATTCCGATTTCCTCAATTTTTTGAGTGATTTTCTAGAAGCCCTTGTCGCAGTGCATAGATTCCGTTTACGTAGAGCAAAAGGTGCCGCTGCCCGATTGGGTACGAGTTGATGTAGTCCCTTATGCTGCTTGTGCCTTGACAAGATGAAAAATGGTCGCATTTTCTTGACGTTCTGTCAAGTCCATTGTCAAGCTTTTTGAGCATCACCATTCGTAAAAAGCATAGCACGTCATCAAATGTCTTTATCCGAGCATTTTGAAGGAGAATAGCTTTTGAAAGGAAGCATTGCAGTAGTAACTAGCAGGAACGAGTACAGATTAAGCGTAATTTTCTTTTTTTTAGAAATAAGCGGAAAATTCATTAACCCTCGATTTCGCTGACCGTTGGAGAAATCCCGCAATGGAGCCCCCTATGAGCCTCCAAGGCCAATAATTTGATATTTGTTATGACACTCTGGCGACTTCCATTCCCGAACATTCGTATCCGATTTCGAGTGTCGCCGTATGCTAATCGCGTGGTTCTTCATTAATCAGGGCAGAGCTTAACGTTGTCTTGTACGACATCGAATTTGCCATTCAAATGTCACACTATTCCTCCTTTCCAAAGCACAGATAAAGATGAGCCTAAGTGAAAAGAAGTGTTCCACAGATCCCCTTTTGGGAAAGACCTAATGGAAAGGGCGCATTTTTTGTTTGCATGAACTTTCCAGATAGGTTGATTGACAACAAACGAAGCCGGTGCACTTGACACTTTCGCTTGCATTTCTTTTCGTGAGCAAAAAATCAAATAAAGGTCACTGGAACGTTCCTCCGCCAGCATTAGCCTGGCACATTTTTTCTTTCGGTTTTCGCCCAAGAGAGGCACACACAATAGAGCGATTAGCTTTCAGATGAGTGCACCGTTCCCATTTCACTTCTTTAGCAAGCAACGCTGCACATATGCATTTCTAGCAAAAAATAGGCCTTGCAGAGAGCCTTCTAAAGTTAAATTAACTTAGGATTACAAAGATAGTAACTTGAGGAAAGCTTTTCTGAGCCAAAAAACATGAATCTAAAAAGCGAAACAAAGTCGTTTGCAGTTCCCTACCATTTAAATTGAATCAAATACATTTAATGTACACATTACATATTGTAAATGGGCAATTTTCCATCGATAGACAGTCATGCTAATTTGCTGACTTGCGTTATGTTCCGATTATCTTATAGCCTTCCCGCGCTTACTTACTTTATTCACTGATTTCTATGTACCTCACCTTTCTACCCTTCTTGTCAGCATTTTTGGCTTTTCTTTAAAGAAACTAAAAATTCAGAATGATTTCCAAATTTTGAGTATATTTCGCTGTCATTATAATTAATCGAAATAAGCAGATTACGTACCATTAAGCTATACTACAAGTTGCAAGGTTATAATAATGAGAAGCATAGCTTGCTCCGGAAAACGGCATAGAAACGTAAGTGACATAAATGACTTGTTTTCAAATCTTAGAAAGGTGAGGTGCATATTAACCATTGATGCTATCAAATAATTGATTTATAGGATTTTCTTTTTCGCTGAAGAGTTTTGAACAACTTTAGTTCCTTTTTGTATGTAGAATTATAGCAACACATATCCCTACTATATACACACAGAATCTCGAGCACATCGGACTCAAATGAGGTTGTGTCCATAGTACAACTACATAAAGAGCTCTCTATGTCCACAATTTCCCTAATAAAATTACTCAAGAAGTACTGCTTCTTTCTTTTCCTCTCACGCTCCTCCTCCCTTCAAGAATTGGATTACAGTTCTTGTTCTTTTTATATGAATGGCTCAGGACTCTCATGTAAAGAACGAAGCATAACAAAAGTAGAGAGTCCCGTTTGCTGAGCAAACTTTTTTTATGCGTTTCATGTAATAGTAGTAGTTTGCAAGTTTTGCAGCAAATCCTTCTCCTCCCCCCACGGTGTATAGCACCCTTTGTTATGCGCACATCTTTGACAGGGAATTCGTTCAGCGTAGAGCAATTCAATTTCAACGCACCCACTTGATCGGTTCCTCAATTTTTCGCTAGTGCTGTGTGAAAGAATTAGCCGTGATTTCACCTCGCGTCGGGCGATAATCAAGAATCTCATGGCGATGCACTAAGTGCGTTATAAAACGCTTACGAAATTGGGCTATTCTCGAAAGGGACTGAATGATAGACTGACCGGGCTGAAGTATGTGAGATGAGGCAAGATCTTCGTGTTTTTCGAGCAACCATCTGCGCCAATTAGCTCGTGTGTCGTATCGCCAGCCACAACCGAGCAGCTCCGCACAATAAGGCAGTTGTCCTGTGGAAGATTTGCCAATTAGGGCTCGGTCCAAAGACGGTTCTACAAAAAAAGTGAAAGGAGGCTTTCTCACTTTCTCGTCCTCGCAACTCCACTGGTGAAACACAGTTTGTCCAAGGACCACTGTTCCCACGAGAGGGCCATTAGGCCATTTTCTCACTGTGTAAGAGCATGCTGGAGAGTGCGAAGTATCTAGAACGGAAACCATTTCTACCATGGAAACCTAACTTTTACAAAATGTATAGAAATCTTTTGGATTAAATAATTCTAATCTCGAGGAGGAAGGAGGGGCAAGATAACAATTTGTTATTTGTGAAAAAGATCAAACTTCTGGGGACAAGGACCGATGCTACAAAAGAACACTGTTATCAAGGACTACGGTGGTTCTGCTCAGTGGATGTATCGAGTTCTTTATAACTAGCTCACCATCGATACGACTGTGGTGAAGTAAAGCTACAATTTCGTTTTGTAAACGTTCCAACAAGTAATGCCCGGATTTTGCCCAATAAATTGGTCGCTTAACAATCTGTTTGAAATGACTACGTTGGTAAATGGAATCAAAAATTGATATATTACATTATAGTTCGCAGCATCCTCTTCCCTTCCCAAAGAAGTGATTTTTCTTGAGTTTTTTAAAATGGAAAAAAATGAGATGTGGTTTAACAAGATGAAGTGATGAGACATGTATGACAACCGCTTCAATAAGTTGTACCGAAAAGTTAGCAAAGTTTTCTAGATACCATGAGAATGAAAACTGAAGACTGCAGTCGGTTGCTTTCGAGATCGTGTACAGTGTGGAAGTAAAAAAATTGAAGATGTAAGCTGTTGAAGTCATGGTATAATTCTGCTATACAGCTAGTGTGAGGAAGTCTTAGGCGCTTCACAACTAGATCACGGCAATTATGAAGTAATTCAGTATTTCCTACGACTATATTCGCAATGTGATCGACAAAAAGAAATGTTTTCTTCACCTTCCCCTCCTTGAAATTGATAATTCAGCTTTTGGCTTGTCTATTTATGGCGCATTCTTGTGCTTCTAATTCGCAGGTTCGTCGTGCCACTTTCTTATACTGATACATCTAGAGAAAAAAGCTAATTGCTCACTTAGTCAGCATTGAATAAAGAAAGTCTAGAAATACTTTGAGATGAAAAATTGCCTTTGTCGACTGATCATCGGAAAGTTTGAGATCTTCTAATGATGTCATAGGTTTTAGGTCCATGTCAAAAAAAGCTTGAAATTATCAGCGTTGATTTCGAGATAATTAGACTATTGGATTAGACCGTTGACTTACATTCATGTACCAACTTCTACTGGAAATAAGTTACGTGAACCATTTTACTAAATAACAAAATATTTTTTTCCTGATATTGCACTCCTTTCAAAAAAGCAACAGTTTGTTCGAACGAAGTTAATGCAAATCTTCCCCAGCTCTCCGCCAGCAATACGTTGTTATCGCATACCTCGCGGAGGTTCGGTTGGGCTTCCCGTTTCCTGATGGCCTTGCGAGGTTCGCTGGTGAAAGCAGCGGAAATGAAAAATTCGATCATCAGCCGTAGTAAAATCGGGATGGAAAGCGACGGCAAGCGATGTTTCCAGAAAAACTCCCTCGGGCGACTTTGACCTGCAACGCACATTTCCGTGCTAATTTCCGTTCGCATCAGCTCGAGCTCATTGCTGAGCAAATTAATTAATCCCTCTTTTGCAGAGGCAAATGCGAGTGACTTACCGACGTCGCGGCACTGCGCATTCTTCGTGCGGAACGAGTACTTCGATTTGATTATTCGTTACCAAGGTCTGGAATGAACGCTATTTCCAAGATGTTTCGATGATCGGCCGTTCGCCTGACTACGGCATTGGATGTGTAATAGCCAAAGAACGGGTTACGTAGATACTAGAAGAACTTTCTGAATAAAATGGCGAAAAGACACAAACACTATCAAAGGTCGTTTCTTTCTTTGTGGAAAGTCTACTTTGTAAAAGGACCCCTTCCGTATTAAGTATGCCGCTATGGATTCTATTACTCTTGTCAACATTTATGTCGCTTTTACATCCCTTGCTTTACATGCGTTGCGAAGAAACGAGTTGAGACCATTAGCCTTACTCATAATCCATGCAGTGAATAGCGCTTAATGTCACCTGCTCACATCAGAAGTCTAATTAAAGCTTTGCCATATAAGTGAACATAAATCTTATCTGTCTGCACACCATTTTCAAAAGTAATTCGCAAAAAAAACCTTACAGGGTTTAAATTTGATGGTAATGTACCAGTTTAGTTAGAGAATGATTATCGTCAAGAACGGCACCGCCTCCTTATTTTGCAAAAATCATCATACCAAAAAGAATAATCACGCTGAAAAAGCTGGACTTCATGAATAATATGGCTAGAACACCCTCAAGGAAACCAGTTCCTATGTTAGTGATGGTTATTCTTGATGAATCAGAGACAAGTTTCAGACGAGTTGTTAAGACAACTAAGGAACATCTACAAGGCTTAACATTCCCCTTGCTTTCTACTTCCTGCCTAGCCTTTCAGATTGTTATTGCTTATGCAAAAATGCCTGAATATTTCTTCGATGGGATGGCCCACGAAAGATGAATTCACAATCTTTGTGTGATCATTTACCGAAAAGCAGGAAAAAGAAAAAGAGCGTCAGCCTTTTCGGATATGCTATCTCTACGATAGAGCATGTAAGAGATGCCCCTGCATTGGATCACTTAAGGATAAGTGCATTCATAGACGTTCATTTCCCATTCATGGACATATAGTGCATCCATCACTGACATTTCTGAAGCTTCACGTTCTTTGGCTACATCAGAGGCTGTGTAAGTCTTCGAATGACAAAATGATTTTAGAGGAAGCCCACTTGATAGCAGAATTTGTTCGAGGCGAACTTCACGTGCACGTGTCCCTCGAAGGTTCGATTCGTCCTCAGTTTGATGTAGATCGCATCGGCAGCACAGCTAAATGGATTCGTTTTAGCATTGTCTGCTTCGTGTTACTCGAGGTTTTTGGTGCGATCACCGCGTAAGCTTTGATAGTGCTGAGAAAAGACGAGCCCCCCTATCGGCCCCTCTTAGCACGACTGGTTTTGCATCTGAACGTTCAGGCTAAGGAACGCATCGAGATGGCGCCAAAATGCATCCATAAAGTAGAGATGATAGGGCAATAGAGCCACGCATGCGCATCTCTTCCGCACACGTGATTTTATGGTGCTGTGTTCCTTACGCTACTTGGAATCGAGCGAGAAGTGAGAAGAAAATATTATACTAGACCCTCAAGATGATAAAACATTAGATCTCCGCAATCTTCTCTAGGGTCCGTCAGAGGGCAGCTTATTTATCATGCTTACCATGCCCGATGCAGAAGTTACAAGTGGCACTATAACCTAAAAGGTCTAACAATAAGCTTATCGAACGTAGTAAGTAACAGAAAACCAAAGGATATCTAGCACGTGTATTGTATTGTATTGTATTGTAGGTGTGTTTTCATAAATCGTATGGTTGAGTTCTCACAGAAGATTGCCACTAAAAAGGAAGAGACAGAACATCAACAAGATTGGAATCTGTGAAGTAGATAGTAATCAAAACAAAAAGTTTTTAGCACTAAAAAGCGTACGTTCAATGAATATAAGGCGCAGTAGCATCAATAGGAAAGAATTTGGAGGATATATCGAATGTGCAGCTTATCAAGAAAAACAAAAATCTAAGTTTAATTATAGGTAGAAGAAATTGGGATGTTCAAAAAGAGTAGTATTCATTATAAGTCTAGGAAGAAATAATCACAGAAAAAGCATAAAAACTATGTGAATGAATCTAATCCTAAGTTACACCTTGTCGGATTTGATCAAAAATAGAATGAGAAACTAGAAGCAGACTTCATATCCAAATTATAAGGAGATGACGTCTTTTTTTCTGGTTTTTCTCTTAACAATCCAATTATGATTGTTCATTCCTGCTAAAAGTATCTTCTACGAGGGAAACGAAACATGTTTTAGCTCTCATGCTGGGCTAGTGACCATACTATCAAACAAGTTGCGGGCTTGACTCACAAAGTTTACGGCGACTAGAATAATTGTAATACGTATGACCGTTAACATTTATGTGCGTTTTTGCAGGAGCTGATTGGCAAATGTCATGAAGAAAAGCCTATTGGTCACAGGATTTTTTGTAACCATTTTTGAAACTCAAGTATTGCTCTGTATAAGCAACCAGTACATATGAAGTTTTCACTTGAAAACTTTTGTTTTTTGCGTTTCATTTTTTTGACGAGCAAATCCTTCGCTGCTTCCAAAAGCGATCTGCTCACGACATTTCTATAAATGGTACGGAAACCCTCCCAGTAGAACATCTTTCAAAACTTCTCAGCTGAGCGTTAGAAGCTGTAAACATCGCTTATCTCGTAAAGTTTCTTGCTAGGGAGGAAGATCAAGTATTGCGAAAGTTCCAACGCATTTACAATCGGCCATCTTCAACCACCGAACCGGATTTCCTCGTTTAGTCACACACGCACCCCGTCGTCGTCCTCGCAAGTGGCCTCGAATGACGCAACGACTGCCGGAGGGGCAGATCTCTAGACTTGGTACGAAACAGAAACGCGCCCTTTCATAAATTTTCTCGCCTCATTGGACACGAATAGAGAAATCAAGCTTGACTCGGAAAGCGAAAGCAACCGCCAGAAGAAGACACGAAGAGGGGGGGATGGGTTGCAAATGGTGAAAAATTACAGAGCTTATTCGGTACCATCGCAACTAGCCTCCGCGCTCATCTTTCGGATTTCGAAGAGATTCAACGGCTTTGAAGTACCCATGCAAAAGGACATAAATCATACGAAAATAGCGTGACTACAAACTAATCCAGACAAGACGCATATATCCCTCACAATGAATCACTGTTACTGGTTACTGCTTTTCAAAGAAATGTTGTAGAAAAAGCTACTGAAAAGAAGAGCTTTGATCTATCTCTGAAACAGGTTTATTGATTGCAAACTTTGCCAAAATTTTGCAATTCTTTTGACAAATCCCTTTTTTTTTCAGAAAATTTCATTTTTCATATCTATAAATCCTATTTCAAATAATTTTTTTCAGAAAAGTCCATTTTTCATATCTCTACATTCCGTTTTCGAATAATCTCCCCTTTCTGAATTTTGTTCCGCAGAAAAAAGTCTCCACTTATCAGCAGCAGAGTTTGTTTGTTAACTTGTACTCGAATTTATTTGAACTCCCAAAAGGTGTGCTCTGACAATCTACAGAAAATTTTTATTTCCTGAGAAAAATCTTTTTGAAGGCTTATAATGTCTAAAAGTCAAGAGCAGCAATTGGTTGCGGTGCAGTCAACCGCAATAACGTGGGGATTATTATGGCTAATGGTGCAGGTTTATCATTAGTACAATCTACGAGCACCGTTGACTAAATAGCTTCGACTCTCGAAAGAAATGGTGGCTATAAAAAGCACTAGAAAATAAGAATGGTTTGGACTAGCTTAGATATGACACTTTTACCTTTCTGCAGCTTTTATGGGCATTTTCGACCTTTCGGCAGTTTTTATGAGCGTATTTTGCTTTCAATTTTGGGTTTTGAGACGAAAACTAGCCATAAAATCATGTTAGAAATAATAAAATGAGGCTGGATGGGGCTAGCAGCTGTACTTCACCCTGCATTAAGGCAATCTGATTTTCATTTCCGTTCAAAACGCTCCTGGCTTCCATATTAAGATGAACTGTAAGTCCCTTTTCTATTATGGCACTTTGAAATCTGAACTAATCATATGAGTGGCCCGAAAAGAAGCTCAGAGACACTATTGGTTCAAATCGTCTTTGAGATTGAATGAGATACAAAACGGCCTTTTGTCCTGAGGAAAAATCATTCGTTGCAGTGTTTTTATAGTAAGAATGTTGTCGAATATGCTATAATTCTTCCTAGAAAGAAGTTTTTGAAAATAAAGAGTAAACTGCTGACATGGTGGTTCAGATTATCCTAAATTTTTGAAGAGGCTGTGACACTCTAATGAAAGAAACTTTCGCCAGAAAGTAGCGACAGAAGGGATTATAACTTTGTTTTCTCTTTGAAGTCCCAGTATTGAGTACGCCACTTGATAGCTTAAACAGAATTGGTTCATTGTTTATCTTTAAATCATAATTATTGGGATGCGTTGACAGAATAATAAGACAGCCGTATACGCTCCCTGCTCTTAACTGTGCACGCCTTACGAGTTGAGTTTTTTGATAATTGAATAGAAGTGCAGAAATCTTAAGTATGCCGGAAAAACCTGCAGAGCTGGGAATACTGAGAGTTTTATATAAAATCGATGTAGTGTACGGACGTAGTAATCATTACCGTGAATTTTATCCAAGGGTCTAAGAATGTCGAAAAGAGTATGGAATTGAAATCCAGAGACAGATTATGCGTTTTAAGGGCCGGGCATACTTCACGCGATTTGGCAATATTCCCACTGTCCACAACTCACTGTAAGAACATTTCAAATGTAGAGAAGACAAGGCATTTTATCAATCCACGTAAGTTATACACACTATGCATGTGCAGTTTGCTAATGTGGGATCTGAAGACTTTTGGCGAATTGCCAAATCGCGTTTATACTGAAATCGCGTGAAGTATGCCCGGCCCTTTAAAGTTATGAATCCATATCATTCATTAGATTACATTACCATTTCTATGAAGTCTTGAGGAAAAAGGTGATGATAGTTGATTCAAATTGAGCATATGGCCTCCTAATTTACGACCAAGAGCAGTTCAAAGAGAGTTTTGAAAGGAGTGAAAGACTCATACATATCTCACTTTATTGAGTAATTGAAAGAGCTAGTAGATGGGAAAATGCTGACATGACTTAAACAACAATGCATATACTTTATAGCGGAATTGATCTTGTAATATCTAGTGCAGGTTCTTTTGCATTATTCATGAGTACATGTGCAAGCAGTACGAATATGAATGAAGGAGGGCTGCTGAGCAAGAGAGGAGAGGGCAGAGGTAATTCTGCAAAAGAATAATTGATAACCAAGCAAAAAAGGTTACAGCACAATATCGTACGAATTATAGAAACGCATGAAAAATATCAAAAAATAGAATCTTAGAAGTTGAAGGACAACTCACTTTACATAAGGCTCTCCGGTGACGAAATTAGGTGGTTCCTCAGCTGGAATATCCTGCGACAGAACGTGCCGAAGTAGCAGTGTCAGCGATGCCACGAGGCCGCAGCTGCCAAGCATGTCGCGACAACTTCGCGACAAGATCGCTCTTGGCTATAGCGACAGCGATATTGCCGTCCTCGAAGGGTTTTCCAATTCTGCCCGGGGGCGTCTCGTGCAGGCGACGACGTCTGCAAGTCGTTCAGGCTGTCGGCTCCCAGCCTCTCGGCGTCCTTTGTCTGATCAGTGGGGAACGGCCCGCGACTGATGGGGGCGGTACCCAGATGCACTGCAAAAGGCGCTTTATGTTTAGTAACCAGTCTTAAGTCGTGACGTAATCGTTTCTGAAGGGAGAACGCATGGGAAAGGCTGTTTTTGAGCGAAGTTATGAAAGGAGAGCAAAATCGACACGACGTTCGCAATGAGGTAGGTTAGACGACAAGATCGGCTAAGCGACTGAGTGATATTCTTAGAAAAAATAGAGTGGAAGAGAAGAACTGTTGAATTCGCTCAGTCCCAAGTTGAAGTGAAAATGATGTGACTTTAGATTTTCAGAATAAGAAATCAAGGCTAAATTTCGCAGAAAAACTCTCGTATTATAGTGCAGTACGAGCTGTCTTTTATTTTCTAAGAGTGAGAGTGACCTCTAACAAATGCATAGCTCTTATTCGATCCACGTAGTTTGAGCAGTAATAGCGAGTTTTTTTCTACATCCCATGGCATTCACGTGTATAACTTTTGGAATACATCCTTTTTTCCTGTTCCATTTTGTAATGAAATAGAAAAAATCGCGCGGCAAAAACGAATTAGTTCTACTTTTGTTAAATGAGGTAGCTTTTGTGGCAAGGCCATAAATGATCAGTATCCTAATCTCCAACTTTGCTACACGTCCTGAATGATTACAAATATTAGTGACCAGCCTTAACAGTTTACTTCGATAATTTTCGGTATTTTCATTTTAGAAAAAAAAAAACTCAAACGATCACTATCAGGTCAGTTTCGATTTATGTATCACTTCTTTTCACATACTGCTCAAAGATGGGTTGATGAAAAATCAATGGTTGCTTATCCTGAAACGGTAGAGAAGATATTAAAATGTATAAAATACATCATGATATAGCTATCTTAGAAGTTTGAATATTTCCTTATTTTTTCAGGTAAAAAACTTTCTGGCATTATTCGCCATCTTGTACAGCTTGCTTGGCTCTACTAAAAAGAAAAAAAAATGATAAGCACACACTTTTTAATTCCTAAACTCTCTTCTCTCAAAGTCTTTGCTTTGACTCAACTACCATTCAGAAAAGCAGGTTTCACTTAGGCTTACAATATTAAGCGAATCAGCCATTGCTCTTTATTACTATAGGATTACGGTAGGAACTTCCAGCATACAGCGTCATTGTGAAATAACCCATTCGAAAAGTTTAGAAAAATGTGGAAAGTCGTATATCAATGTTTTCAGACATGCGGATTTCACCAAATTACTTTTCACAAGTTTCTGAAGTGTTTCAAACTATTTAATTGCATTTTTTACAATGAAGAAACGTTATTGCGGTTTTTTCGGAATAACTTTTGAAAAGTGTTATACGAGAAGGTCGAACTTCAATTCCAAAATCAGCGACACAGTCAGCCTAATGGTAAAGTTTTCAGCTTGCTAAGTGTTCATTCTGGGGCGAAATGTAACCACTAATGGCTCAAACCCTTTCAAAGTTCCTAGCGTAATCCTACAGTAATGAGCAGATATGGGTGATTTGCTCTATACTGCAAATCTAAGTTAAATCCTGCTCTACTGAATGGTACTTGAGGCTAAGCAAAAGACCTTGCGGAAAGAGAGTTATCAACGATCAAATAGTGTGTACTTACTTTGGGACACCTTAAATACACACGTCACTTCCCAAAAAGCCGAGCTATCCAGTGCCTTCCCTAATTAGAAGCTTCTGCAAGCGGGAGATCCTCTTACAAACTATTTAGAAAGTAGGGGACTTGTTTGACATAGGCAATCTCCATATACGGATTTGAAATGCTGGAAAATCGAATGAGTGATGCGTGTTAGGTTTAACATCCGCCGCCTCTGCGAATAGTGAACAAAAGTTTTACTAGGCAACCTGCAAGATTGGTTGAGGAAGACCACTCGACACACATTACTTATTAGATTTTCGCAGCGATCTCAAATCGTGTATGAAGATTGCCGATGCCAAACAAGCCCTATACTTTCCAAAAAGTTTGTATGAGGATCTCTTGCATGCTAAAGCGTCTATTTTCTTGCATTCTAAGTCCCATTCTTTTCTTTCTCAAACCTTCTCACCAACCTGTAGGATGGATTGAGGAAGAATGAGACTGCAAGACTAATGAAAACGAGTTTCAAACTTTCAAAACAACGCTTTCAACACTTTCAACATTGGGAACATTTCAACACTCCCAACACCGGCAACGCTGGCAAACTCTGACCGAAAGCTGACATGCACTGACTGTGCATCAACCTAAAGGAACAGACACTCAAGAAATGTTTTGCTGTTGCTCACAATGGAAGGATACTTAATGACCGTGCCCATTCATAATGAGTTATATACCAAGAAATGCACCTTTGACTGCTGGTACGAAAACTGTTTTCTGCGAAACGATAAAATAGATGGAGTTATGATTTATTTTTAAGAGTGAATTGCGCTAGGAAATTTTCTCACCTTTTCAATTGCTGGATACCACTTAAACAGTTTAGATAATGCAACTCTTTGCCTAAGATTTTCTCTAACAGCATCGAACGGTAAACCAGACTAAATTCAGAGGTTTCAGACAATTTGCGAATTTTCTGAGGAGAAAGTTCATAACTTCCTTCAGAAAATCGTTTTATAGATATCGAGCGTAGATTTGGAATCTGCGTTTCTAGACGCGTCTTATGGTGTGTATCACATTTCAAATGGCCGATGACCGAGTATCCTTTCCTTGCCAGAGATTTAATAGAAGAGGAGAAACCAAAACTGGAGAAGATATACTGTTGGAACAAATGCATGACTTTACAGCACTAGCTCATTGCTTTTGTCCATTGTTAGATTCAAAATAGAGCTACGAAAGCAACAGTACCCAGTAAAGCAATAGAATGATATAAAAAGTGAAAGGATTTCAGACTTAGTTGGCCAACTTATGGCCGGTTGGAGAGCGCACATGTGCGATGCAACACTTTGAAATATGATCTTGAACGGCGCTAAAAATGCCTAATGCATACGCCATATCTTGCAGATTAAGCTTTTTATGTTTTAGCGCCTTCAATTTTAGCAGAGAAACTGCAGGAAGAGAAAGAGATTGCAAAGCCATTTTTCGGAAAAAGTTTATTTGCCTTGATGTTCAGCACTAGGCGAAAGCAGCGGATGCGGCAGCTGTAGCATCGAATTTCATTCACTTTTTCAGCAAACGATGTCTAGAATGTAATTTTATTAACTGCGGCTTTGCCTCGCAGTGTAACAGCAACCAGAGAATTGTTGAAGTTCGTCGACTGGAACGAACTACTCCGGATTCGAGGAACACATGAGGTTGTCGCTTTGTCGAATAATTCAGAAGACTGAGGTGAAGACAATAGCGACGCTGGCGGACGCTGTTCTGATCGCGCGGCTTCGCACAATATGCATCATGACAGATTGTTTGAAGCTTGGGATAGAGAGTGAGGTGGTAAAGCCTTAGTATCCGCTTTAGGACCTTTTGAGTTCTCCTAACCACTGCAGCTAGATAGAGGCTGTTGGTGTTCTTATAAATATACAGGGTATCCCATTGGTCGTTAATAACTCTCTTCCAAATGAGTCTTTTTCTTAGCTTTGAGTATCATTCAGTAAAGGAGGCTTCAACTTAGATTCTATAGAGTATAGAGCAATCATTCATCTCCCCTCATAACTATGGGACCGGTAGGAAATTCAGCATACAACGTTATTGTGAATAGGCCGTTTAAACAAAAAATTCCAAAAAATTCTAAAGTTGTGTAGCAGTGTTTCAGAGATGCTGACTTCACTAGACTACCATTTGAGTTTTTGAGGGGTTTAATTGGTTCAATCATGTTTTTGAAAAACACTGAAAAAAACCTTGTTGCGGTTTACTTGGCATAACGTACTAAAAAGCCTTGCGATAAAGTGCGAATTTCACGTCAATAATCAGCGACTCAGTTCAGCTTAATGATAGAGTTTTCGGCTTGTTGAGTATCTGTTTGGGGCAATATGCATCTTAATGGCTTAAAACCCTCTTCAGAGTTCATACAGTAATCCTACAATAATGACAAGAGTTGTGTGATTCGCCTTATACTGCAAATCTAAGTTAAAACCACATCTACTGAATAGTACTTAAAGCTTAAAAAAAGACTACTCGGAAAAAGAGCTATTAACGTTAAAAAAGTGTGTACTTACTATTGAGATGTCGGTCCAAATGTCTTGCAAAAAAGGTGTGGAAAATTTGCTCAAAAAATGTTTCAAAGCTTCCGCTGAATACCGTAGGTATTTTTCAAGTAGCACGAATGTTCTATTTTGCTAAGAGTCTTTATTCGACACAAAAAATATGTCGAACATCTCGAGAATCAAGACTATTTGTGGATACGACCACACCACCTCATATTCGTCTCACTAAAAGGGATTGGGTAGCAAAAACAATAAAATCAGAGTTCGTTCGACCTCTTTTCGTGATTTTTGTGGCCGAAATCAGTAAGAAATAATAATTCAAAATCAATACATCTACATATTTCTCTTCTCACCTTATATTCCGTGACGTGACAACACTAATTTTGCTCTAAGAGTACCAGAAGCGAACGAATTTTATGAACTGCACTATGAGAAATTAGTTGAAGTCAGATGTGAATTAGGATAAACTTCTAATGCAAGATTTGAGCGAAACACTAGTAGTTTCAAAAAATAATAGCAGCTTTCGGCTAGGTAATAAGCACACAAAAAGAATCTAATACTCTGCCTTGATCTATATCATTCATTTGTTTGATTGCCTTTGTTGTACCACATTATCAGTGATCTCGAGCATGCAGAATTACTAAACTTGAAATTTTATTGCAGACCATGCTAGACAGTCGAGGTTAAGAAAGTTTCTGATGATATAGAAAAGCTTGGAACAGCGCGAGTCCCTGTCTTGAGAGCTCTTCCCCCCCCCCTCAAGTCTCTGCCTATAGATTAGCACCTAGTCTCAAAAGATTTCGGTGTCTCCTTCTGGGATAAGGACTAAGATCAGCCGAGGATGTCAGCTTTTTCCAACGAACGACCCGAAGTCCCCATTGAGCGACAAACGTTGGCTCAACGGGCACTCCTCGATATTTGATA